TATTGCCATATTGTAGATGCTAATAATGTTATATGATAGCATGCACATTGTAAAAGTATTTCCCAGAAACTAAAATTTGCAAAAAGGATTATGTTTAATATAGTTTAATGAGTGTGCTTTGTATTATTGTCATCCACCTAGGACTTTTAAGCCATGCATAATATGCATACTGATTCTTAGTTCTAGAACATTCTGTCCCTCTGCTCTTTTATGTCAAAATAAGTGATTATAATTTGAGTGATTGAATGTTCTAAAATATTATTCATAGCAGCCACTTGTCTCTAAGTGTTCTCCAAATTATTGCAGACTGAGGAAAAAACCCAGATGACATCAAATATGCTATAGGTCCACACCCGTTTGGTTTCTCCCTGCATTGTTCTTTGTGTCTTTGAGAATGACTGCTCTTTTTAAAAGGCTGGCATTAGCCCTGGAGCCTGGAAAACAGAATTTTGGGCTGTATTCCATCTCTTTGCACCAAAAGTTGTCTGTGAGACAGGGTCATTTTTCTCTGTTCCTTCCATGAGAAATAGAGGATGTATTTCAACCGCAGAAGGCCACAGCAGGGGGCAGGGGATAGGATAGAATGAAAATTGCATGAAGTTGTGTGTTTCTTTGGCTGTTTGTTAACCAAAAGGAAAAAGCATAAAATGTAGGAAATGAGAGCGTGTCTGCGGCAGACCTAGCAGCAGGTGGTATTGTTTTCATCTAAGACGAATACTGGTTTCACGCCATTCTGAGCATTTTTTTCCTTGAGGCATCTCGCTTTCTCATTAGGAACCAATTTTCTTTACATACCAAACAGTGGAACTTTTACCAACAGACACAAAATATTGTACACGTATGTGCTAGGTCTTCTGAGATAATTCTGAAAAGCATACTAACTATACTACATAGTAAGCTCTGCTATTCACTTTAAAACCCAAAAGAAAGTATGCATGTGTTTGGATGGTAAATCTACTTTCCATTTCCTTCATACTAACAAAAATGATAAATTGAGTCTTTTTTTTAATGTGTAGGAGATTAATGTTTGGGAGGTTCTTCCAAATGTTGCATATTTTAAGAATAATATACCAATTATATTTGAATTTCATTGTGTATGGAAGATTAAAACCCTGTGTCAACAACAGCTTTATAAATAGAAGATTCTATTTTGTGTATTCTGAGAGGAATTAATCATCAAAGAGAAGCTGCATGTGGTTCATCCTTATGCTAACCTTAGGGTTCTGCAAATTACAACACATTAGTATGGACACTTGGCCAGTGTGGTTGCCATGGCAGTTAGTAAGGCTGATTTATGCTAGAGGAAAAGTTTTCCTGACTTGAGTTCCATGGCTGGCCTTACCACAAACCAGCCATGAAATCTTGGATCAAAATTTATTTCTTTGAACCTATTTCATTATTTGTTAAATGACTATCATCTCTAAGTTCCCCACAACGCTGATATTAAACAGTTGTATGAGTTGGCTGAGCGCTTCTCTTTGGAATCCAGTTGAGGTAATTTGTTCTTGGTGAGTCTTTATCTTTGTCTGAGCCTTTTCAAACAGAAGGAGTTGTAAATCAGGCAAGAATCAAGGGCAGACTCACAGCACTGGTGAGTCTAAAACATGTCTTGGTACTTGCCTTTATTCTTATTTGAACTTTTATGAAGCACACAGCCATCGTCATTCAAAACGATGTAATGGGACAGCAGTGATAGGCGCTGAAATGCAGTCTTTCTCTTCTCCAGCTGTCTCCAACACACGTATCCTAACAGGCGCACACACAACTGCACACAAGCTAAGAATTTGTCTGCGTTCTCCTTATGTCCAGCAACCTTACAAGATAACAGGATTTCTGAATGTAAGGATTCAGATCTTGGATGGGAGTGCACAACACAGATTCTGTTTGCCTGTGAAGGGAACCCTGCTGCCTGGTTAGATCTTTGTGTACATCTTCTGAGCTTCACTGGTAGTTTTCAGCTGCTGTTTCCGGCCTCTGACAGAGATTTCACTGATCAACAGTGAAATGAGAAAATGTTAAAGGAAACAAAAGCATTCCATGTGAAGGAATAAAATTTTATCTTCTTCAAGAAATGCCTGTGTTAAATTTCCTTCTTTTATCAAGTAGATAGACATTTAAGAAAGTATAGAGGTAGCTCTCTTCACCTCTGCCCCTTACTAGTGTCTCTAAGTGGAATTCTTATGATAGGCTTGCTCCATCAAAACCGAAACAAAACAAGACAGCAGAGCATTCAAACACACAAAAAAAATCCCTCTGGGGCTAAAACTTAGACGTTTTGGCATCATTCATTACCGTAGCAGTGAACATTTTCTGTATAGAGTCATTTCAAAACAATAAGTATTCCAATTTTTGTTAATAGGTAGAATGATGTCTCCAGTTTTTATGCAGCAACAATTTGGTTACAAGTTGAAAAAACCAGGCCCATGTTTCTGTAGAAGACACTGGATTCAGAATTTAAGAATTTTTTGTTTCTATAAATATACTCCATTTTGTAATGTACTTGCTATTTCTATTGTTGGTTGTCTTAAAGCTTTTAAAGTAGCCTTGTATTCAACAAAATACCACATCTTCCTTTTGCTAGTGTGAGGCTAACCTAGGAAATGCTAATTTCTGTTGAATCAGACAGATGAGGTCTCTGCTAGGCTAAAGCATTAGTGAGTTGCAGGGCACATAGGCATCTGCCTGCATAGATCCAGAGCTAATGAAGCTCTCGCTTGGGGTGAGTCATGCACCTGCTACTCCTGAAGTGGGAGGAGTGTTCTGGTTGCCTAGCAGCTGTCTGCTCTGAGCAGGACAGTGCAAGGTCACTCCATGAAACTTGCCACTCAAAAGGAAGGACGACTGATGGGGGCAGATTTCTACTGATAACTGTTGTCACCAACAAGCTAACATAAAAGGGAAAATGATGCATCTAAGCCTAATTTAAAATAGCAACATTAGTTACAAAAATACATTCAGAGAAACTTCAAAAAATGGATGAGGTCATTTTTATAAGCTTTGTCTTTCATTGGGCTGCATGGATAGAAAAACAAATACCATTAGCATTATTCTGCTGAACTCCAGGAATCATTGGGATCTCAAGATAATTGCTATAAGGCTTAAAAGTAAAAGTGAAAAATAAGTATTTAGCTGAGTGGGAAACACAATAATGATTTTTTAAAACAGGTTCATTTATAGATCTAAGTGTATCATTTTAAACTTAGAATATGATTATATTGAAAAATATATCAATTTTTTTGTGGTACCAGGGATCGAACTCAGGACCTTGACGCTTGCCAGGCAAGCACTTACTCCACTGAGCTATCTTCAGCACCCTCAAAATTTTTGTTGACCAAAATACTTAAGCACAAAACCAAGGAAGTAACTAATGTAGAGCTATGCCATTCCCTTAGATTGAAAGATTGACTATCACAAGGATAAGGACCATCCCAAGGCAATTTATAGCTGTAAATTGGTTCCAAGCAAGTCATAACAATTATTAAAACCAACCTGGAAAATACCAGAGAGTGTAGCCAAGATACTTTTGTAAAACAGCAGTGGAAGATTTTCTGCACTGAGAAATTGTTGTACAGAGCATGCAACTCTCAAAAGACTGGGATTGGATGAGAAAAAGCAAATCTAAACTGTATCCTATTACAAATGACTTACTACATAAAACAGTGTTGGAAGCTATAGGGAAAGGTAGGAGCTATTTAATTAATGATAGGAGGAAAATTGATTAATCATGTTTTTAAAATGTTGGACCTCACCTTATACTTCTTGATAAGTGGTTTTAGAGAGAGTGAAAACTTAAATATTGAAGCAAGTGATCCTCTTCAAATCCAACTCTCCTTGCCACACTTACCCTACATCCCATATTTATTCATTTATTGACTCCTCTTTTTACTAGACTGAGGTTTTCTCCTTATTCTGTCTGATTGATCATCCACACCTAAATACTATTATTGACACATGGGAGACAATTCATAAATATTTGTCAAGTGAATGAACGAAAACAATGAGATAAAGCTCAAAAAGGGAATGGAAGACAAACAAAAACAAAAGACCCCAGAAATAGTCTTTGTCAGCATTGAAACATGAACACCACTGTGACAGTCAAGATCCACAAACATTACTTTATGCTTCGTTTTTTAAACCATGGTTTAGTAAACTTTATGAGCAACAAGACAAAGTGGGGTATAGTTTATTTTTTAACAAGACAAGGTGTGAAAAAGTTTATTCTTAAATTTTCCCCAAATCAGTGATTAGAAATTTTCTTTTCTTGTTGATCTCTTCATCATTCCATTCTACTGTACACCAGATTTGCTACATCCATATTTTCTTTCTCCAATTAGAGTGATGCTTCCTTTTGCTGATGAGAAGGTGTCATGTTGCATCCAGGTTTTTCTCGTCTCAGATTTGACCTGATTTCCTCATTTCTGCATTAAAAGCTTGCACGGCTCTGTGCACACACACAATGAGATACTCCACTGGCCTCTTAGAGGGTGTCTTTGCATGGTTAGATAACAATTCACACTTCTCAAACAGCTACAAAGGGCTTCAGAATGGTGCAACAGAATACATCATCAATGGCCGTGACTCATACACATGGCTGACACTGACAAAGGATCTATAATCTGAGGTACAGGATCTTAGGATAAATCCTGAGGGGATTTCACTGACCTTATCAGACCCAAAAGCTACAACTCTTGTTG